CTATCTTGGGCGCATCTGAATATGCTTCGCGAAGCTACCCTGCGAAATCGTACAACTGGATAATCTATTGGTAGCGTTATTTCTACTTTAATAGAATTACTCGTGATGATGGTGTCGGTGCCGATATAAAGTTTATGCGACCAATTAAAGGTTGAATTCTGGAGTCAATTACACACTACTATTATTTCAGTCCATCCGTACTCATTCAATCTAATTATGCTTTGACTGGTAATAACTACTCTGCTTGCTACTTAACTTGATAACTTAAATATTCATCCAAGAACATCTGTATTACAATTCTTACTTAATTTACACATACTCGGTCACCAAGTTGGAGAAAACGAATTTAAGGTATTTCTTTAACTTCATTCGTTTTCGTCACTATGTTGCAGATAATGAATAAAGTACTATCATCACGAACTGTATGATAATATTCCTTCTGTTGAAGTTTATTTATAAGCTCCACCTTTTAAGCTTCTTAATAAATCAAAATCAATAATATCATTACACGCTATACTCCAAATCATAATGTCACCTGTGAATAAGCCTGAAAACTATTTACAACATCTCAGAAGCTCCTTAACGTGGAGGGAAAATAATAAAAGACTTGGTTTTGTACGTTTCTGTATATCATTTCGCACAACATCCCGTTCCGATAGTATCATGTTTATTGTAACTCTGTTTTTTGTCATATAAGAAGTTCTTAATCTAAATTTGCTTTAAGGCTTGTTTTTAGAGGTTAGGATATTTCCGCATAAAATCTGTGTGAGATGCTTATCTCTCAGCGTTGCGGAAATTTATAAGTAATACGTAAAACAGAGAGACTAAAATCTCGGTCTCTTTCTAAGTCTAATCTCCATTTGAGGAGATCCGTCATCCAGGAGCAACGACCATAAAATAATCCTGTTCTGATATTAGCATATCCAGACAACTTATACTGAGTTAGTCCTTATGAAACCTCCGTACCTATTATATTCGAACTGACTGGTCAGCTTTTACCCGTCATTTCTTTCCGTGCTTATCGACTCAGTCAATTTAGACATACTTTCAGCCTGTTTCAAATGAAAACTGGAAAATTGACATGTGGAATAGTTACATTTATAATTCTGAAATAATGTCTGTCAGAAACGACAACTGTCCCCGGATAAATGTAAGTGGAACCCACACTGACTTGCAATGACTGCGAAAATGACACATATTTCGCCATAAGAACGTCGATATAATTCGTCGCCGAGATGACGGGCGGGAAAAGGTGCCATATTTTTACTCCCATACTCCGATTTTTCTAAGACCTAATAGGCTACGATTTTGTTATATGAATTAAGTTGGTGTAAAACTTCTGGATGTTATTTACTTACGTATGATGCGTGACCGTTGCCAACAAAGCCTTTTTTGATCGTGCTCAAGACTGCAGGTATAATTATCGGTCTATTTGTTTGATGCTCAACAGTTGTGTCATATTGTGCTTCAATATATATTTGCGGTCAGTTGATTGATCAGTAAACAAAATATTTACTAGGGATATTATTTCAAGCATTATATTTCACATTATTTAAGATTTTCATTCTAAAGTTCTGAATCAATTACGTTGGTGTGTCCAAAAAAGATATATGTGGAGAGTTTCTGATGATTGAAATGAAATTTTTAGTACAATTAAGAACATTCTATCTCGAAATGGACGGGCTTTGGGTGAATTTTGATGTGACCTTGAAATAAGATATTAGGGCCCAGAGAGTCACATGGCTAGTCAAACACGCTGGTATAGAAGAATTAATCCAGCAACGCAAATGAATTCAACATTTTCTCAAGTTGCAGGTTGTCTTATTGGGGTTTCAAAGTGTATGCTGTCAGAAAAACCTGTTTACTTCAGACAAATCTTAGAAATAGCTACCATTTGGGAAAGAAGGCTTATGTCTAATTTGATTCTCTATTTCACACTACCCAAAAACCTTACTTATTCAACATGTAAGATAGTTCTTGCTAGAGATTCACATGAATACGAACTTCGCAACAAAGTATCTACGGTCAAGGTTGAGAAATACAGATCAAAAACTCGGGAAAACTTCTTCCTCACCAAGTATGCCATAATATGGAACAGTCTTCCCTCGGAAATTCGCATGGCAGATAAACTGCATACGTTTGTGAAACTGCTTGATCAAGCACTCACTTGCACTGATCTTGCACGTACAAACACATCTGTGCCCCACTCAGACATCATAGGCTCTCTCCATGTTTAGACCAAAATGGAATTCAAGTTTAGTTTGCCTTATTTTTCCTACTTTGCAGTTGTACTAGTTACTTCTTCCACCCTAATTTTTCACTTAAAGTAGACAGGTAACTCACTGAAACTATCTATGCTGTTTAACTAAACTCGGTCGCTAAGGGACACTCACGACCATCCTCAGAAAATCAAGAGGACCGCACAATCGATTGCCTACTACCAGTGGTCTTGCATCTATGGAGCCTGTTACCAATCAACTGGTTAGGACAGCACGAAATAACATCAGCACCAATTTACTGTGAGTTTCTACCTGTTTATCTTGTCTTAACATTTTACTCTTCTGCACACTATGTTGACTAGCGATTAATATTATTTCTCCACTTCTTACCTTATCTACAACTCATATACTTCTATACTTTTCTGCCTGCTTTAATAAACAACCATCCTATATTATACCGTTCTTAATGCTTATACTCTGATTGGCAAACTATACTTTATACTATAGTCAACAAAAGCACTGCATCGATGCCTTATCCACAATCCATAGCTTGAAACTGCCTGATAAGCTTGTAAAATGGTACTTATAAAAATTGTGTTTTTCAACAAGATGTGGAACACAGAGGATTGTGTGAGGTATGACATATATCTGAAAATAAGCTTAAATGAGCCTAACATCACAAAAGGAGGGAGGGTGGAGTTGCTGACCAGCAAGCATTGATGGTGGGGGCGATAACTTCAATCCACCCATGTTTGTGGGGGCAGAACATTTTGTATTTATCAGGCTCTTTATGATTGAGAATAAGTCAATCAATCTGTGATATAGACTGTTTTCCTACGCTCACCACTCAGACTCACATTTCTAATATTATGCTGGATTAGCTATTCTAATAAGACAACCTATAGCATGCTAACTCGAACTTTTACACTAGGATTGTGTGGCTGGCATCAGATGGACAAAAAAGAAAGAAAAAAATTAGATATTAAAAGACATGGTCGTTAGTATTCTTAACACTTCACCCTCAAAATGCACTCTCCCTTTTAATAAACAGCTTTCCTCGTACCCACATTGACTTTCCTTCCTTCATATGAGCTCACTCCAACTTGTTAAACATCACAACTGATTGTTCTTTATTACTACATTTTCTTATATGGAGCCTCTGCCTTCAGTTCACTCTAACAAGAAATAATATGAATTTAATCTAATTTATTATACCTCTGTCTGTTCCACTACTTAATTTTAAGCAACGTTTTGCGTTCATATCCAAGTGACTAAATGCCCTTCTGTTTCTCTTTTTTCTTCAGATTCTTGCTCTGAGGGCACAGCTATCGAACTTCTGACGTCTGGAACAAACTTGACGTACGCGTCCCCTCAAGGTCACAGTTTACAGCAAGCACTCTACGGATGTACTCTATAACAACAATAAACGTAATAAGTTGCGAAGCATTTTGTGAACCATCAAATGTTGTAATTTGTAGATCATGTCTGCAAAAATTGAAGTCACCTACTCATGCAGAAATATATTATTATTACTATTATTATACACTCTCCCGTACAAATATTTTCTGAGATAATGCCTTATGAAGATGCTAGGATGTTAAGCGAATTATGTGACTAGGGTGGGTCTGACTTAAATTCAAAGTTTAGTGAACAACTTTGGACTTGTGTTTAAGATTTTATAGAGTAGAGCACTATAATTACAACTCGATACAAACTATCCATACAGCCTAGGTAATCTCCAGCTGGAAGAGTCGTTAGTCAAAAATGTCTTGATATTCTAGTAACGTACTGCGAAAAATCGTCTTTTGACCAAACCTTATGTCAATACCTTTGAAGCGAATTGTCAATCATCACGAAAAATGCTTTCAACTGGATCCTTGAAATTCTTATTCTGCTTGTGGTAATATATTTTTCCTTTCACCTATTATGGTGTTGAAAAACCTGAAGAGCTTTTAATGCAGGAAAGAAAGCGGATCGTAAATTTTAATCTAAACCTGATGAGAAACTTTTCAAATCAATAAATCATTCGCTAATTAGAGCAAAAGTTTCACATATATTCATGGCTTCACGATGCTATTGTCTATGGCATATTTATAATCGGAGACTCCGAATGCAGTCAAAGAAGTCAGGGATGAAGGTTCAAATATATAGTTGGAAGATAATCAACATATCTAATCGTACGTGAATCAAGCTGACTTGTTGTTGCAGCGGATGAGTCGCACAAGTAACTGAGTGGTAAAATGATGCGGATACTAGTCCAATCTCCTTCAGCTAACGTGTGTTCAGTTAAACTAATGAGATCAGCTTAATGTTGAAGACTTACAGAAATTTATTTTTATGATTTGCTAGCCACTGCAAAAGCATACGAGACTCGAAGGTAACCTCATGGTGACTGAAAAACTCTTCAATATACGTGACGATCTTATAGAAGCATAAGGAAAAGTACATGAAAATTGGAGGTGCAGCACAGTAAGTTGGTTTGTTGATAGATTCTGGAAGTCGCGGTTATTCAAGTCCTGGAATCCTTGAGCAAGCTGTCACAGTCTAAGTTATTTATGCAACGCGTTTCAAGAGTAGAGTTGGCATATTCACTTACATACAGTGATCAGGAAAGCATTTTACATTAGTTTTCTAATACTCCTCAAATGTCTTTTGATTTTGCACATAAAAACCTTCACTTGAAGTTATCAGTGATTGTTGCCACTAGACACATCACCTTGTCAACCTAATCCTTTTTTTTGTAACCACTAGCAGTTGAGATGTTTGACACATTAGGTTTGCGCTTTTTTCAACTTTAGTCTTTACAGCGCCAAAGACGACAAGCAAGGTAATGTTCTCGATAATTGAGGTATTAGTTGTTGGTGTTTACGTTGACGAGAACCAAATAAGTTATACCTTGAGCTTCATTGTAGGGCCTAAGCCTGCATGAACAGTTAACGCAGTGATTGTAACTTCATTTTTGTGTGATGACCACTAACCACCAATGGTTATAACCATTGGTGAGTGAGAACCAGTTGGTAATCAATGTACTGAATTGGTATTAAGGTTAGTATTTATCACCTACTCACTCGTTATTAGTCAGAACTCTTAAGGAGCTTCATATTCTCCGGACACGGGTCCATTCTGCGTGAATAATAAACATACCTCCCTAAGATCCCAAGTTTGGGGAGATTTTTGGGTTTTGGTGCCATTTACCCAAAATTATTTGAGCGTATTCCTCGAAATTTCTCTAAAATGAGTCAAATCTTTCCAAAAATTGGGGGATTGGGATAGTTTATTACAGCTCCTGTATTATATGACCACTCATCAGTAATTCCAAACTATATTCTAGAGCGTTTTAATTCTTCCATAAACTAGGTTTTGTCACTAAAAATTTCTTAAAGATCATTCAGGCATATAGCAACCTGCTATTAATATGGTCCTCAAATGCCCTGGTACGGTCCGGGTAGGAGAGAGTCAGCTCTACCTCTCGAAATGCTTTCACATGGCCACGCGTATACAGCTACTGCCAAGGAAGTCCTACTCACTTCCTTCTCATGGCGGGGTGTTGTTTACGAAATCGATAGAAGGAAGGGCGAATGTCCGGCGCTTTAAACGGGTTGTTGAACACAGAGGGTTTACCTAAGAGAGTTGGGGAACCCTGATTCCAAACCAATAGTGCACATAGGTTCTAGGGTCCTGAAGGAACAAATGGCTCATGAACCAATCGTTAGTCACCGGCTACCATGGGACTGCATCTCGTGACTTTGCTCCACTGCTTTGTGGATCAGACCTTTATCTCGGAGGCTCCGGGTGTGGCCCGCTAATAAAACCACTTGCTTCGGTCTGGGCACCTAGGTAGTATCATAGTTCATACACAGATCAAGTGAATTGTGTGGCTCATATGTATTCGGTGCTCCTTTGTACCAATATTTATGTGTTCAAATAAATAAATAAATCATGTGACAGTTAAACACTGATTACTTTCATTTACCTCAGACTTTTTCTGTTTATCATGTTAGATACTAAAAACGTTTGATTCGTGATCTCAGTCCTATAGTATACATCAGTTTCACTAAGTTAGTTAATACTCCCCGTTGATAATATGACGGTTAGGTGTTATGTACTATGATATTCCGTACCATATTGTCACGTATTTCGCGCAACTTAGTGAGTTGTGAAATTTGAAATCTTTCGTATCTATCACTAAACACTTGCGAGGCGAAACATCCAAAGCGAATAGTCAGTCAGTCAGTCAGTAACAACGTAGAACTTCGTACATACGGACATCAGTTCGAGTTGTCATACCACATTAGCACAGAGATGCAGTTGTCGATTTAAATCCTGTAGTGGTAGAGGTGGTAAGAGTATGAGGAGTAATCGGAAAGATTAGGGTTTGCAGATGTTATTTAAGGAGTATAGTTCAGTGAAATAAATTTGGAAAGACGGAAAAAGGGACATGAAGAATTCAGAAGATAAGAATTTGGAAGAACACAAAGAGTAGATGCACCTTCACAATTGCAAACGATTTTGATCCATGTCATTCAGGGTCTCTAACCATCGGTTGCTATCATCTCGCGGTCCCCAGGTAGTCTACACCTACCAAAACGGCTCAGTCCACTTGTCAGTGACTTCATGGATTTGTGCCATGTTTTGGTCTGGCCGCCCCTAGCTTTCTTCCAACCTACTTCTATACCAATGAACATCGCACGTCGAGGCAGTCGGTCGTTGGGCATATGTAACACGTGTCCCAGCCATCTCAACTGATGAAGTTTCACTACATCATCAATTGATTTGCCATCCTTACATAGTACCCGTTCCCTAACAACTGCGTTACTTACCCGATGGTCCCAGGATATACGAGCAATGTTTCGAAGACACCAATGATCAAATACTAGTAACCTACGAATATCCTCTACTTTTATCGGCCATGTTTCACTGCCATAAAGTAGGGCGGAACGAACTGCTGCGCAGTAAACCCGTCCTTTGGTTGATAGATGGATATCTCGCCTACGCCATATATGACGCAAGTTGGCAAAAGCTAGTTGAGCCTTCTGTATCCGTGCTGAGATTTCGTCACACACCAGACCACAAAGGCTGATGAGACTTCCAAGACAAGTGAATCGGTCGACACGCTCAACTACTTCACTCCCTATCATTCAAAAAAAGTGATGCTCTACCGACTGAGCTAACCGGATGTCGATGCAACCCAATCCTGAAGCAACATTTTGCGTTTCGGTGGGGAGAATCACATGCCGAACATGCTTGCATTGTCGCTTAGAGTGGTCAGAAGACTCTGCATGTTGTCAGCGTCTTCACCAAATAGAACTATATCATTGGCATATTCCAAGTCAACAAGGGAATCTTCTGGTAGAAGTTCAACCCCTGGAAATTTAGATGAAGAAAGGGTCATCTCTAAAAGCACGTCAACGACAAAGTTGAACAAGAATGGAGAGAGTGGACAGCCCTGACGAACACCACTTGAGGTAATCAATTCTGATGACAGTTCGCCATAAGCTCTCACTCTACCAGTTGTGTTCGAGTAGAGAGCCTGTATAAGGTTAATGTAATTCTTTGGTACTCCTTTCAGTGACAAACTGCCATAAAACCTCACGATCAACAGAGTCGAATGCTGCCTTAAGGTCGAGAAATACTACGATTGTGAGAGGTCTGAATGTGTGTCTATGTTCTAGGACCTGACGTATTGTGAATATCTGGTCTATACAATCACGTCCAGGTCGGAAACCAGCCTGGTTTTCTTTAATCTGCTCTTCACGAGCTTTGATTAGGCGTCGAAGTATTATTGAGGCTAATATTTTAGACACTATATTAGTCAAGCTGATTCCTCTGTGATTGTCACAAGAGCACTTTTGTCCTTTCGCTAATAGTTGGGTTCCTAATGCCGATTTCCCTAACGAGTATGAACAATTGTCTGCTATTACCTATTGCCGCTGCCTTTTCCATCTCTCTTGCATTCGCTACACACCACTGTTGACGAACATTGCGTAGGCTTCTTGTCAGCCTGCGCTTAAGCTGACTCCGCTCTTCGTTATGTTCAGAGCTATATGGAATGAGTTTTCGAGCACGTATCAGTGCGGCAGATGCTGCTGAGATCTAGTGTTGCTCCCTAACCTTACGGTTTACTTTATGTTCAGTAAGACATAGGCAAATACGCGCTCGTACTAGAGCATGATCTGAATCTAAGCATGTGCTCCAGAATGAGCGACAGTCTTCTATCGAGCCCCTCCATTGGTGGCTGATAGCGATGTAATCTATTTGGGTCCAACGGGATGAATTAGGGGGTCACCATGTTAAAAAATGTTTTTCCTTATGCTTAAAGTTAGTATTTGCAGGAAACAGGCGGTTATCTGAGCATAGCTGCAACAAACGGTCGGCATTATCTGTTCTTCGAGCCACGACACCATAAGATCCACCTAGGTGTCTTTCCCTTTCGCTTAGTTTACCTACTTGAAAATTCAAGTCACCAGCCACTATTACTACATCAGAGCGCCTACCTTTTTCGGAGGTCGGAAAGCTTTCTGTAAAACTCTTCTTTTATATCACCTGAGCTGCAGTCAGTGGGAGTATAGGCAGAGACGACGAAGAGGCTATGACGAGTTTCCCTATCTTTCCGAGTCATTATTATTCCGTTTAGTCGGACAGCGCACAAAAGACTGTCTACTGGGATCCACTCTAAGAGAGCTAGTTCTGCCCTAGGACTCAATGCTATACCCACGCCGGCGAGGCCACGGAAAGCAGAATCTGGGCTTCCAGATACACGAAGTATGAATCGAGTCGGTTCTTTATTTTAGCATGGTGAGGTCAAATGAATGACGCTACTCGGATCCTGTATGCGCGTTTCGAAGACGCAGCACACATCGATAGCGCGAGATTTTAAAGTTCTAGCTAAGGAAGCTTGTTGTCCTATTTGGCTTAGTGTTCGGACGTTAGAAGCTCCGACGTGTAGTTTAGAGCGTGGTTTCAGTAGACCAGGAATAACGTTCCGCGTACTCAAATCGTTTTCCCTGGCGGTGCGAGGTGATAAATAGAGGCGAGAAGGGTTAGTCGTGGAGATAAGAGAGGTATTAGAAGGTGTAGGAAGGAAAATAGTGTGACCAACTTGATCTCGTGTGCTATTACGGGTATGAGGGCTGATGTCACTTCCCGGCTGCCCACACCGTGGAAGGGTATTTCTTGAGGAACCTAAAAAAGAAATTGGATTAATGTTGGCCTGCGTGACTGCAGAGCCCAAGGGACAACTGCTTGAGGCCGGTCGCGCACGGCCTATTCATGAGAGGTTTTTAATGTGTCAGCTCCGTTCTTCAAAGGGCCTTACCTCCGGAGACGAAAATCCGTGAGGTAAGTTGAGGTGTGACATTTTTAGGGTCAACATTTTCTAACCCCCTCCTTCCTTATGAGAAGGCAGCATCTCTGCAGACGCTGGTTTTCTGAGGGAAACACCTTACTTCTGTCACACCCCTCTACACTCAGCAGTACGACTTCGCCCTCAGACCTTGAGTTGCTGCTTTTAGTCTCAGCGTTCTCCAATCGACCTGCCTGGTATGGTAGAACCTACAGGAACATATGTTCCAGCCAATATAGCTCGGTTGAGTCATCACTATAGGCAAGCCCGACCACCGCGTCAAGATAGCAGCTACGGTCGGGCAAAGCGAATAGGTTTACTAACTATGGTGAAACCCATGTTCAAACTGGATCACGTAGAGAGATGAACCGTTTACTGTTACTGGCATTCCTATCCCTTTCCGTGTTTATATGACGAGAAAAATTGCACCGATGCACATGCGCCAGGTCCTATCTTGTTTACTACTAAGTGATGAAAAAAATCTGATGTAGTTACTACTTGCTACTTGAAAATTTTAACTGGTATTCTATTTTAAAGTAAACGCAAACGACTGTTTTTCAATCAGGTAACAAGCTATGAGATATGCCAGCTGAATTACTGATTGATTGTTAAGGATGTGTAATAAATAAAGGAAATCGTCTTGGGACTTGGATTTACACAATTGTTTACTTGCGTTATCTGCATGTGTCCACTCTTCGACTGGACATATCTTTAATTAGTCACGAACGTAGGATGTCTTACTCTGTTGTTATTTTTACTGTCCTTAGATTGACTCCCTCATAATATTTGAGATTTTGAGAAACTTGATGACATTAGGACTTTATAAACTGTATTGCATTCTATCGAATGCAACACGAGCACCAGAGAAAGTGGTATGATAAGAAAGAATATAAGATATCCCTACATTATGGGGAAGTAGATAGTCGAAAAATAAATCACTGACATCAACCACCTCGGGATTACATTTGTAGTAAATAACTAGAAATAAAGTTACAAGAGCTTTAGAAGTATATCAATGTGATTGTTGGTGATTGACTAATGTATTCCCGAAGTAGCCCACTGCATTAATGTAAAACGGATAGTTTTATTGAAGTCTAACTATGTATTCCGCCTAACCATTCTACCAGTATACACTCTACAGTTTCTTTAGCCATACAAAGTGTATCCTGAGCTTATATTACCAAGTTGTTTTGATGCCACGTTCGATCATTCTTATTTATTATCTATAACCACCGTATTGAACATGAACGCACTTCGCATTTATGGAAACATTAATATCCCCTCTTATTCCTTTCAGGTTTTCGTGCTGAGTAGCTTCACCATATCAACTTGAATTTCCCCTCATCAATTACTTTCCTACTGACTAGGTGAAAAAATAAATAACTGAAAATTGCAATTTCTTAATGGGTGTTACATCCTTTCTATAGTCTATCTCAAGCAGGCTATGTCAACTCCAATTTCTAGTCTAAACAGTTTATTTTCATTCACATCTCCTGCTGTAAAAAGACTTCTTGGTTGGAAACAAGGAGACGAAGAGGAAAAATGGGCTGAAAAAGCGGTCGACTCACTTGTAAAGAAACTTAAAAAGAAAAAGGGTGCACTTGAAGCTCTAGAGCGAGCTTTGAGTAATCCCGGTGAACCTTCAGAATGTGTTACTATTCCGCGCTCCCTCGATGGTCGACTTCAAGTTTCTCATAGGAAAGGATTACCTCATGTAATTTACTGTCGAGTGTGGAGGTGGCCAGACTTACAAAGCCATCATGAGTTGAAACCTCTTGATTTCTGCCGTTTTCCATTCTCAGCTAAAGAAAATGAGGTTTGTATTAACCCTTATCATTATCAGCGAGTTGAAAGTCCAGGTAAGTGTAATTGTTATTGTAATAATTATAATTTCGTCTTAATATTGCACTACTAGGTTCACTTTGGCTAACACACTTAAAGATAAACCATATAGTTATTGGATTTCTATCCTTAATAAAATCATACCATAAATTATCTAATCAGCCATTGAGGTTGATGATGAATCATGAAGTACATAAGTAGGTTGTTAGTATCTTAGCTATTAACATACTTTTTTTTATTGATGGCGTAATAACCCGTAGATTTTTAGTAGCTTTCCACAGCTTTCGATAGATACTTCTTCCCATCTCGTCTTATATTTTTCTCCTAATAATTTGTATGATTTCACACAAAATAGCAGACGCCTTTCAGTCCCCCTATTTTATTAGGGCCTGTATATTTAATTAAAATCCAATAATACGAAAATCGAACTGACTAATCAATCGCTTTAATTCCCATTACCATATGTACAGTTTCCAGTAACACTAACTAATATTTGTTATTTTAGTTTTGCCTCCAGTCCTTGTTCCTCGGCATAGTGAATACCCTAGTCTTAGCACTGTAACTCCGTCACCGGGTTTATCACACTGTGGAAGCAGTGGAATGTCTAGTTCCCGTTCAGCATCTAATCTGGGAATGTTCCCGATGACAGACTCAGCAATGCCTTACAATGTAAATTATCCACACAACTTCAGTCATTCTCCGTCTCTTCCTCCCGGAAATAGTGGAACTTCTACAGACAGTGCAGTCGCTGGACCTATCCATTCACTTAATAGTAAGTATAGTTGTATTTTTGTTCTTCTATATCAGTTTATTATTTATAAATTTACCAACAAATTTGTATGCTTTTGTTTGCCGATCGCTATATGTATTGAAAAACAACTTTAGTTGGTTTTTACGTACCATTCAAACTATTTTGTTCTCATTTTCCTAACCTCGTGGTTTCACCGTTCTTTAATCATGGTTCGGGCTTTTGATATCAGTCTAAGTGTTTAGTGCAGTGGTCTCTTTGAATGATCTATAAAGTTTCATACTTTTAGAACCAAACTTTCGTGAATGTATCTGACATATTTTTTCAGATATCATCAGTAACAAAAGTTTGAAATATCGTTTAGTTGGAATATTTGCCGACAAGTCGAAAGCGCTACTCCGTATCAAAGATATTCATGTTGCAGAACGTCTAATACTACATATCCTAAAACTGTACGCATTCGATTGCTCAAAAACATATTCTTGTATATAGTTTTCTGAGACAACCTAGTTCTAACAATAAATCACATATTATATTACACTGTTTCTGGTGCATTGTAAGCCAAAGAAGCATGTACTCGTTTGCGCTTTTGAAGGCTTAAACTAAGAAGAATATTAAATCAACGCACTTGAATCCGTTTAATATTAAATTTCGTACTCCAGTTTTAAAAAAATGCAGTTATTTATTGTGTATACTGTCAAAAACCTTTGGTATTAAATAATCGAGTTGGTGATTTATTTCATCTGTACCATTCAAACAAGAGAAGTTACGTACACTGTAGTTTCTGTAATTATTGATTTAGAAAATATTTTGAGGATTTTATTTAGCCAATACTTAGTTTTACCATAGGGAGCGCAGTTGTCAAAGGTATTGACATTCACTTATCTTTGGAGTCTCATCGACCCGGCGGATTGGTGCTCAAAGAAGTGCCAGCATGTATACAATAAGTTGATTTCGATTTCCGCCAGAGTGAACCACCTCTGAAGTAGGTAAGGCGCTCATGTACATATCGGAGTTATTTTTTCCATCAATGACCGGGGATACGGAGCAGAAGGTTTCTCTATTCTTCTATGCGGCTATGAAATGGCTTATGAAAGTAAAGTACTTGTTCATAAGTGTCTTCGTAGTGTGAAATGGTATTTGATCCTATAATCCAATAACTAAAAGTCTACTCTGTCAATCACTTAGCCATAATTTTGCAAAAGACTAGTTGAGAGTGGAATGTTTCCATATAGAATTGTTTTACAGTAATGATTTAGAAAAATTTCGTAATGAATCAATATAAATTATGGTTAAATTCCACTATGCTAATTATGATAAAACGTCATCTTGGTAATGTTCTTTAAAGCGATTGTTATTTACCATCTTTAACAGGCTCAAATCTTCAATCCGGTTACCAAACTCAACCCAATCAAGAACCGGCTACCTCTGGACAAAGTAAGTTTTACAAATGTTTGTGTTTAAATATTTCAGTGCATTTTAAAAATGTTCAGATATTTATGCAATCTGTTATAAGAACTATGAGTTAAATTTCAAATTTATTTAAGCATTTAGTAACCCGTCACAACTTTATAATAGTCATTCAGATGCCGCTAAAAAGGATCATTTCAGGAAAGTAGAGTGTAGGAAACTGTTAATTTATTAAAAATATTTGTCTGAGGACTGGAGCACAGCTTATCTAGTTGTGATAATGAAACTAATGACTTAGTTGCTACAATATTTCGCTTTTAGTCAAAGCTACAGGTTCGAACCATCAACTCCATTTTAGGTCTGTCAGTCACAATATAGAGCCGGTACAACGGTTGAAGTTGTCGTATTCAATTAGCACAGAGAGATAAAGTTGCTAGACTAAATCTCAGAGTAGTAGAGGTAGTAACAGTATCAGTAGTAATAGAAGGGGTTAAGCATCGAAGATACAATTCTAAAGAATATAAATTAGTGAAATGATAACCAAAAGTTATTAGGAGTCTAGCATATCAAAATTTGCGAAAGACAAAAAACGAATGTACGTGCTTCACTCAAAACGATTTTGGACCACTTCATCCAAAGTCTAACCACTGGTTATGGTAATCAACCCGACCCCAACCAGGTATTCTACACCTATTAACATAGCTCAGTTCAATTGTCAATGGCACCATGTTTTTGGGTTGGTCACCCCTAAATTTCTTCCAGCCTACTCCTGCACAAGAAAACATCGCCCATCGAGTTAGGCGGTGGTTGGATATGCATAACACATGTCCCAATCACCTCAATTGGTGGAGATTTACTACCTCATCACTCGATTTACTATATTTACCTGGTACTCTATTCAGGGTATCTAGTAATCAATCGTTACATAACAATAATTCGACAAATGGTTTTTAGATAATTTTTTCAGCTTAGCATTTTTGAAATATTATTTGTTCTTGAACATGTAATTCAACATTTGAAATCACTTATTCCACATGTAATCGTCGTACAATATTATACAGAAATTAGATGTTCAGAGGGATCATATTATTGAATTCGGTTGAGAAAGTAATGAACTCATCACTGCATAGTTTTTTTTCAAAAACGTGTCACCATCATAGCTTCAACGAGTATCTGAGCATAGTTGCAACAGATAGCTGCCATTATCTGTGGAAATCCGTGCGGTTAGTGTGAAGTGTGACATTTTTAGGACCGACCTTTTATAACTGTTTCCTTCCGTTGTGAGTAGACAGCATCGCTGCAAGTGCTGGTTTTCCGAGGTAAACATATTACTGTTGTCACACTCTTCTACAGTCAGAAGCACAAATTTTCCCTCAAACATTAAGTTACTGCTTTTATTCTCACCCTTCCTCATTTCAGGTCGCTTGGTAGTATTAATATCCATAACACAAAATGTTTGGCTCATGAGTGATATCATGAACCTGTGCTTGTGTTTAAACTAAGTTAATCAGATCCATTCAGATCCATCATATTGAACGTTTGGTAGCTGTTTCATTTTTTTGACAGCTTGTCATGCGTGCATTTCCATAAACACTTTGACTCAATAATCCAAGCTACTAGTGCATTCTTTAATTTCATTTAAGAAAATAGGGGGATAAGGTATATTATTAGCAAAGATCGGCATAAAAGTGTATTTCAATTCATAGTACTGGTAAATCCTTAAAATAGGTGCATGTATTTAGTTGATTGCTTGAGTCGAACGTCTGATTTGTACGAAAGCTCATCTAGAGGAAGTCTGAATATATGACATGGTTACTTCTTTAACCTTTTTATTCGAATTCGTATTTCTCATGTTTTTAGCCAACATAACTATTTGGGTGCTACTGATCCGCACATCAAGTGACTCATAACTACTGTATAGCCTAGCACATATGCATTAGATCAAATATCCACACCAAGTCAGCACAGTGAGACGAATAGCAAAAGAATCAAAATAATTATAGTATCAGTGATAATGAGAATATGATGCGAAAAATAGATAACAAGGTATGTATGAAGGAACACGAACCCGAAATCTAAAAAATGATGAACAGTGTATTTATTTATTTTACTAGCTGGTTCTGAGTTATGTTACTCAATATCTATCACCGGCTGCACTCATGTGGACTCCAACCAGGTAGTCTTCATGTACCATTAAAACTCAGCTCAATAGCTGGGTATTTGATGGATTGATGCCACGTTTCCGTTTTATCTCTTGAGTTTTTTTTCTAACTGTTATTTCAGCCAGTGCATCATATAAAAAAGCTGTTTTATCACTGTATTTCTAAGTAGCCACCTCATCCAGTAAAATCACAACATAACATCCATTAAATACAAAAACAAATTGGTGATATTCTACAGTATATTATCATTACTTACCAACATTCGTCATTTATAAGCATCGTTGAGTCGCTAAAGCAAACAGTGGATTTTGTGTCAGTAATTTATCAGAAACCTATTCAGAATTGCTCATTAGGAATTAGTAACTTGAGTCTAAAAAATAATTATGTTTACAGACTAATGGAGTAACAATCGGAAACTTACTGAAACCACATCCTAAAAGGATTGAGAAAGTTCCAACCAGTTTTAATTATATAACTGGCATATCGATTTTATATTTGTGTTGCGTGTTGATGGCAATTACACAGGGATTGGTTATAGTTATCAGCATAATACATTTTATGTGGAATTTAATGTAGAAACATATCTGATTCTTTTTATTTTGGTCTTCGACAAAAGCAACCCTTTACTTTACGGCAAAAATATTCAAACTTGAATAGGCTTTATCTTATGAGTCAAAATCAGTGTTCAGTCAAAACACTGATTTACTGAACCAAGTGACTGCTTTGCGGAATGATGGATACATTTGTTTTAACGTAGAAATGTTTGTATTAGTTAAGTGTCAAAACAGTCTTCGTTTCTATCCCATTTTAGTGGAAATTAGACTATAGACAAACTGAACCAATTAGTAATCCAGCTCCCTAATTGCTATGGTATTCAAGATACAGGAACCACTACATTAATTACGAGTGGTATGATTAGTTGATCCCATGCCTAGTTCTGTCTATTTATTCACATGTACCTCCTGAACTACGTTCATTAAAAAGACAGAGGGGAAATGTTGCTCGATTTCGTGAATTTATCATACAGAAACTGTCCATTGCAGTACTGATCTCATTTATAAATCATGACTAAAGTCACTTAGCTGAAACATATACCTATTTATCGATTAAAATAATTGAGTTATATTAAACGTATCGCTACTAATTATCTACGTTAACAAATCAAGCTTTAATTTATCTGTGATATATACGTTTTGAATATACTGTGCTGTTAGTATGTTATGTGGTTAAATGTGTTGTCTTTTCATTCACGTCCTAGCTATGCATCCAGTCAATTATCAAGAACCGAAATACTGGTGTTCGATTGTTTATTATGAACTAAATAATCGTGTCGGTGAAGCATTTAACGCTTCACAATTAAGCATAATCATTGATGGTTTTACAGACCCATCAAATAATTCAGATCGTTTTTGTCTTGGTCTTTTGTCGAACGTAAACCGAAATTCTACAATCGAGAATACAAGACGTCATATTGGAAAAGGTTATTATTTATTTGCAGTTTTTCTTTTCTATTTATGTTGAAATCTTTATTTATCTAACATTAATGGTATGACATCTGAGTAATTAATGTTTGTTCAGCTCCAAGGCAATATGTTAGTCTTAAAATAGCCAAATTGTTCACTCTCCATATTTTGTTTGTTTCTTATCCACGAATAATCATTTGGCTCATTTGTCTATAATAACTAACCACTGCATTTATTTATCACCAACCTATCCACTCTCTATGGTGCTTTAAAGCAGCAATTAATGGTTTTTATCTTAATTTAGAGTTACTCGTTTTCTTCCAAATATTTTGCCATAGATTTACTGTTTCTGTAAAATGAAGGCAAACATTTAAATGACTAGGTTCGATTTCTGCTGATACTACATTATTTGTATCATCATCTGTTCACTTTCTGAAACACGATGTTGAAAACAGGAAAATAAGTGATTGTTCATCTAAACTAACTTGGAATTTAATTATATATATATATAAGTAGAGTGGTTATTTAACAATGCACCTACCTAATAGTGTTTCTTGATCATTATCAACATATTTATGGCCCCAGTTTGTTGGAAAATCTCCCATACTGTTACGATTGTTGTTTTTATTTTGACCAAGATAATGTCTTAGTATGGAGCCAACCATTCATCATCTGCTGTGTGACAATCAGTAAATTTTTTATTCTCTTCCACCCACCGAAACTCAAAATATTTTAGTTAGATTCTTTTATCTGTTTAGTTCATCATTAATTATTTATCATTCGGCTGTGTTCTTTAATAAGTCATTTAAAATTGGATATTAGAACTTAAGTAAAAGTGATTGTTGTTCAAAATAACGTATTTACTTTCCGAATCAGTCAGAAGTTTAATTAATCTTTAAGCGAAAAATGGATGTCTAGATTAAAATGTACACACTTTATGCTGGTTTTGTAGATCTAACAAAACTTCTACACAACAAACTGTCTCATATCCATATTAAACATTGTATACATGAGTAAGTCTGTGCAAGAACCTTCATTTTAGAAGAGAAGAATCAAAAAATTAATATTGAACTCTAAGAATCTCGAACTTGTGTCACAGTATACACATTAGACTGAACCAATCATTCATACCACGTCTCTCATTTCACCATAGTCTGTTTTTTGTTCTATTTTCTCGTATAGGCGTTCATCTTTATTATGTTGGTGGTGAAGTTTACGCTGAATGTTTATCAGATAGTAGTATATTTGTACAATCACGTAATTGTAATTATCATCATAATTTTCATCCAACTACAGTGTGTAAAATTCCACCTGGTTGTTCATTGAAAATATTCTCAAATCAAGAATTCGCTCATCTACTCAGTCGTACAGTACATCATGGTTTTGAAGCTGTTTATGAATTAACTAAAATGTGTACAATACGTATGAGTTTTGTAAAAGGTTGGGGTGCTGAATATCATCGACAAGATGTTACATCTACTCCATGTTGGGTTGAAATCCATTTGAATGGTCCATTACAATGGCTCGATCGTGTACTTACACAAATGGGTACACCAAGAAATCCGATTTCATCGGTTTCATAAATCTCATATTGTTAAACACTTCATCGTCCTCCTAATGGATATTGATTCTGGGACAAAAAATGAATAACATATGATGTATACATGTCTAGGATTCCCATCGAAAAAGAATACATTGTTCTTTTTTCTTATTTTCTGCATTAAGATCATAAATAGCCTCACTCATACTATCAGTATTAACAAATCATCATTGCAATCTAAAATTCATTTCATAAGATAGAGCTTCTTATCAATATGAACCACACGAGAAGAACATGAAAATAGTGAGTAAAATAACTGCGCCATTCTCGTTTCTACTATTTATTTGTATTTCTGCATATATCTTCTTACTATTTACAATAGTTATTGATATTTTGTGTTTTCGTACAGCGCCTCCTGAAAATGCTAATCACATTGTTTTGTTTATTGTTAATCATTGGGGTCTTTCTCTTTTCTTCATCGTTCCGTTTGTCATTATTGTTTTCATTGTTGTGTGAACATTTCAAGTCTACTTTTTCAATTATTATCTTGATGTAGGTAGACGACAGTGTGAACTGTTTTGAAATCACTGTAATATAAAACATAACTGTCGCATTTTTGTATTATTTTCACTCTCATCGCTGGAGGTATATATATATATATATATATATATATATATATATATATATATATATATATATACGTGCCTTAACTTTTTTTATTAACATTAGACTGACTGCATATATGCGTTCACGCGTATAGTTGATTCCCTTTTTTTTTAAAAAAAAACTTCATATGTATATATTAACATACAAGTAAATCTTTTGTTCTTGGAATGTGTCACATAGTGCTTTGAATTTCATCAGTTTTTTCTCTGCATTTATTTATCATATCATTTTAATAATTAAGTACAGGAAGTAGTAAATTTTATCACGATCCAGTTGTGCAATTTTTATCTATAGTGTTGTCCTTTATTCAGAGGAACTTTCTACTCGTAATTGATTTTAATATGAAAATCTTGATAAGTGACTAACTAATTTATTTACTAATCTGTTCCCAGTGTCTATATCATTTTTGTTTCATTGTATTGTAGGTAACATTCGATTTAAAAATGAATAAAAATTAATCGTCAGTAAATATCTACTACTTTTTCATTCAAAGACTTGATAATACTTAATAATTATATAATGAGCGCCCTTTTGTTTTATTAATCAGTCAAATTGATGTTCTATTTTCTACATTTATCTCATAAAATCTTTTCCTTACTTTGTCCCTCTTATATTGTTTTCTTTTCCTAATTATGGCAGCTTCGTTATGAAAGACAGGTAGATTCATTCTTATTTGTCTGAATTTGTCTGCACATTTAATTATTGTATTCGACGTTTTGTCGGTTTTCATCTTACACTCCCTCTCCGCCTGTCATGTAAAATTTTTATACAAAATAGACGACCATCTTTATAATTCGTTTTATTTTACAAAATAATGTATTAGTTGACCTCGGATTTGAAGAAAATAGTATATATATATATATATATACTACTTCCATGAAAACGACATAGTTAACCACTAATGCGGTTTGTGTTCAATACCAATGTGTTATGCAAATAGTAACATTTGGTAAAGTAATCAATAGCCAATAAATGTAATCATAGTTATGTTAAATTTTGCTTATCTTATCGACGGCATGAAATAAAAAGGGTAGTTCTAGATAACACGAGTGGATTAAGAGCTAGGGGTAGACAGATGAATATATGATAAGGATCTTTATGTTTAGTGAATATTCACTTAAACTATTTTAGGATTTGTAGGCCAATGTGAGTTGTGTTTTCGGGAAACCACAACACTTTGACCGAAGATGTTTTATTTCATGAGCTGAAGTTACTAATAAGTGTTGCAATTGATCCCATAACAGTTATTCGATTTTACTTCATTTCATGTTTCTTAAAAAAAACCAGTCCGCAATAATATCTGTCCAGGTACTTTTAACCGAGTAGCGCAGATAAGACCCCTGACTGAAGTAGCTAAACCAACGATGTTTCAGGGAAGCAGAATAAGTTAATAACCACCTGGAAAAATACTGCCGTGTATATTACACACTGTATGGTTAATTTATACTCAGTTTGCAATCTTGAGATTGACACTATGCCTGTTACCTACATTAAATTTAAAATTAACGTGTTTCAGTACTATTGGCCGTGTCAATAATGATGAACAATTGGAAATGGTTAGTTTGCTTTAACCAATTTCTCTTTTTGACTCAACAAACTGAAGTTACAATCCATTTCTTTTTATTTGAAAGTAATTGCGATGACTCATAGTTTTTATAAATACTAAACAAAACGTACGAATTTATTATGATGTTAGTAGTATATTGGTCATAATTTTCTAATATAAATAATCATAAGAAATATAAGACATGTAGTAATTGTCCTGAAATGAAGTGAAATTTGATTTATGATTGATTTCATGTAGTTTAACAAGGTAATGAAAGAATTGGCTACATTGAAATTTATGTGTATTCTTTTTACTACTACGAAGTTAGACATAGGCCATCTTCACCCTACATATATTACAAATATATTTATGAGGTGAATAACAATCTATGTTTAGAGTTTGCCGTTTATGTAAGATGGAAATTAAAAAAAAGCTTTACAACTGTTAAGGAACTATTTTGCAAATACTTTCATGTTTTTGATTATTTATGATATTGAATTTTTCAAGTTAAATAAAAGCACACACAACATCACAGTAGGCTAATAAAGCAAGATATATACTAGGAACAAAAGTATGCTACACAATTATGCTAGTGTGTAATATTAACATGATTGGATGGTGAAACTAGAATGGTAACACCTTATTTCCAATTAGAGTAACATCACTTGTTATTATTAAAAGTGTAATCGACATAAACACATCTTATTCAGTACAGTATACTAATTCTATTTACTTAACCATAAACAAATTGAAATTATTGATGTACTTAAGAATCATTTCGAAGAAACAATAATTAAAAAGAACTTTAATGCATCAGATTTGAGTAACCTTATAATAGATAGTCGTCGAATTCACAGAGGATGATGGTTAAGATTTCGTCTTGAGATTCGAAATCTAATTTTGCACAACTATTCGAATTTACCCTAGGAAGAATGCCAAATAGCTTGTGCTAGGTTGACTACAATTTCAATAGTAAATTAGTGTCAGATAGAATTTCTATGTGTCGATTGATCTAAATATTAACTGAAACGGTAAGCAACCAACAATATTCAGGATTTCAGCAGGTCCAATTTCTATTGGCTATATCAAATTGCATGAACTATGTTCTAATGTCGTAAATTTGAGTATTTGTTAAAACTATCTAAAAGTCTGTGACCCCTAAATTGACTTCACTTTATAAAGATATAAACGTAAGTCTTATTAAATAAAACTGTATAATTTAATTCAAAGAGAATGTTCATCATATTGTTTAACTATTTTACGATCTATAGTCACCTAATATTCTATATTTTCCTTCAACGAAAAATTTGTTCATCGGAGTAAAAAGTACTTACCCGATTTTAAACAATTTTCAAAGGAATGTGAATCAGTTTCAACAAGCTAGACTTTTACAAGATTGAAACCAACAATTTATGCATTATTGTATTTAACAATCAGAACCATCCAGTTGCGTGGCTATTCTAACAAGCTACTTATTGTTACTTAGTTGGAAATAGTCGGAAAATGTTTGCATTTTTATCTAGCCTTTACTTTGAAAATTTAATACATATCAAAATTCACTAACCACTCCTTGTATAGTAAAATTTTGCCTGAGTAAAATGTGGAATCTTCATGTATGACACGGAACTGTATAAAGTGTGCACAGTCCTCGAATGAATGAACTATGATGTTTTAAACAATTGTATATAATCTAATATTTTCATGAATGGACAAAATATCAAAAATGTGCTCTACGAAGATTGGTTCGTATGCGAAGACGACATTTACCAGTGAGAGCTGTGAATATTTTTACTTGTAGTTTGATACTTCTTAAGAAGGCTCATCCACAACTTCATATGGAATAAAGTCTAGGAGCTTCGGATCTCATATCCAGCAGGAAAAATGTAAAGTAGCTGAAAAACATTTGAAAATCAAGGAGCACAAGACAGCATTAGGCTCATATTTATTCACCTGTAAGTAAATTTGAAAGACACTCCATGACCCTTAAACTGGGCATTTAAATATATATAAAAAAACTCAGGTTTTTACTTATTTCTTCACTAAGCTTAGTAATAATCTCTGATTATTGAAATATGTAATATGAGTAAAATGTGTTGCTTACTATGATAGTAAGAGTAAACAAACTGACGACTTCCGAAAAATAACTGACGTGATGTAACTAGAAATTGTCATCGTGAAATCATTTGATTTCCACTTTCCGATTACAAAATAACAGTTGTCTATATTTTTTCTATTCTCAATTATTGTTCTATTTACTTGTAAAATTCTTGAAAACCATGTCTCTTGATTCTCGACACTAGTCAATAAGGGTTATCAGTAACCATGAGTGATATCATGCTCCTACATTATCGTGAACACCACAGATTGTTGACAAGTTATAAATTAAACGAAGCCTATTTATTCTTTTAATTTTCTGGCTACTGGGAATTATCAAGTAAACGAATTACTGTGCTCAGTCACTTAATAATGAAATACAGAATTCCAGCAGTACAAAGAAATACGATAACATTGGTCACTAATAAATGATCGATTCGTGTTAGGTGAACTTTTGTCTGTAACACATACTATAATTTAACTACTCAACTTATAAATTTTCGTTTGTGTTACTCCATACTTCTAGTCATTATTCATCTCTTATGATCAAATAAGTAGTTTAGTCATATTTTAAAAAATACTGGAACTCCAACGGTTTTTGGGAATGAGTATTCACTTAAATCTTTGTTAGTGCCTGAAGGCTAAATAAGTTGACAATCGAACAATTCACTGAGGGGCGAATTCTTCCGTTTTATTAACCGTGAATACATACATGTACATTTAATTATTTATATTGGCATGTTGATATGACAGTTTTTTATTCATACGAATCCTGGGTAGTTTTGTAATTCGTTAGAAAGTCAAATTACAATTTCCCAGTATGAAATATCATTCATTATACTTTTATGCATTTTCCTGATCTCAATAATATATGTTCATATGTTTAATCAAATGATCATATTTGATTAACCACTTTAAGGGCACTTTTTTCCAACTTAGATCGATCTTAGTTTTGAAGTAGTCAACAAAGTAGACGGCATTTAAACAACTTTCACTTAAAATAGGTGTAATTTAGTGTTGTTTGGTGGTCAGTTATATTTCTGTTTACCTACGTGTATAAAATTATCAACTTTTTTATGATCAGTATAACTAAAAAAGCATGATTCATCATGGACTTCTATTGGTTATGAATTGACATTTGTCGTATAATAGGTGTCGAATAGTTATTATATGCAAAAATGAGGGAGTAGTAAATAACTATTTTATCTTATTTAAGTATCCTATATTGGAACCAATCTCATAGTCGGCATAAAATCTTTCGACTATTATGACCTTTTAGGCTCTAGTTAATTCGCTCCAAATAGCTTAATTATCATTCATTGTCATTAGTGAGTTACTGTTTTGCTCCAGATTTGATTGAGTTTAACAGATCACAGCTTATTAAATTTTCAGGGTATTTAGTAATCAATCGTTACATAACAATAATTATGATTCGACAAATGGTTTTTAGATAATTTTTTTCAGCTTAGCATTTTTGAAATATTATTTGTTCATTGAACGGAAATCCTAGGGACATCATTCAGATTTGAATTTGTTCTTGAACATGTAATTCAACATTTGAAATCACTTATTCCACATGTAATCATCGTACAATATTATACAGAAATTATATGTTCAGAGGGATCATATTATTGAATTTGGTTCAAAACTCATCACTACATAGTTTTTTTTTTTTCAAAAAAGTGTCACTATCATAACTTCAACAAAAAATTGTCCAACCGGAAGCTTATGTAAATAAATCAACAGTAAGGTGTGAAATCATGACGAGATAAGACAATATGTATTTAGGGAATCAAATGTACAAATTTCGGGTAATGTAATACTAGATCTTTTTTTAAATACATTGTTAAGCAACATGTGTCAGTGTTTCTTTAAACGTACATTAATTATGAATATGTTACTAACTAGAAATTGCTGAAACAATAAAAGGAATTAAAAATTCATCAGATAATTTTTTTTAATTCATGTTGTAAAAATGTAATGGAGATCGACAAACGATTTAAGATAAATCTATCATATGAATGAATCAAAGAGAAGGGACATGTTAAAAAATGAACATACTACAAAAGCTCCTTCACTCGATAATGATAATAATAATTCATCAGTCAATTGAATCGATAGATAAAACTTCTCAATTTTCCTAACAGACTTTATCTTCCAGCATTATACTTATCTATTCTGCTTTATT